GATCTACTGAACTTTTCCTTTCCATGTTTGAGTCGTCGAGGCGCCAACTCAAAGGTGGGAGAAATGTTGGAAAAGAAGAAGTTCGAAGCAGCCAATGGGAGGCCGACGGAGGGGGCTACGGGGATGCAGCGGCTGGGATGAGAACAATAACAGAAGAACTTGTAAACAACTTTCGAACGCGATAATTTGCCCTGATCCCCGATTCTTTTAGTGTAAATATTTAAATATATAATTAATTAAATAATACTTTACTTATTTTCTTAATTTATAATAAATATAAATTTCCCTCCTGTTTTCGTCGTACATTTTAAAAAGCGACACCACAATTTTGAACCTTCAACCCTGCCGACCAAGAATAGAGGTGAGCGACTCCTTCTATAGAACTTAGATCGTTGCCACAACACAGAGTGGCGGTGAAATCGCAATAGTTATAATATCAAAATTTTTTATTTCAAGGTAAAATATCGACTATTTCTAACCTTTTTGGATGAGGTATGAAAGGGCGAATTATGAAGAGTAATGACGAACGGAAAAACAAAAGTGTCCAGGGATGAGAATCGAGCCCGCAATGTTCCGCTTACCGTGAAGATGCCGTGTCCACTAGGCTACCCTGGACCCTCAAGTGTCGTTTTACAATCACAGGCCGCAGTGTATTATATTGTATTATAAGTTACTTTAAGTATCATTTATGAACGGAAAAATACGTCCAGGGTAGCCTAGTGGACATGGCATCTGCCCGGTAAGCGGAACATTGTGGGTTCGATTCCCATCCCTGGGCACTTTTATTTTTCCGTTCGTCATTACTCTTCATAATTCACCCTTTCATACCTCATCCAAAAAGGTTAGAAATAGTCGATGTTTTACCTTGAAATAAAAAAAATTGATATTTCGTTGAAAAGAAACTCATGCGGTTTAACTTCAAGCGTCGTTTTACAATCACAGGCCGCAGTGTATTTTAAGTTACTTTATGTATCATTTACGAACGGAAAAATACGTCCAGGGTAGCCTAGTGGATATGGCATCTGCCCGGTAAGCCGAACATTGTGGGTTCGATTCCCATCCTTGGGCACTTTTATTTTTCCGTTCGTCATTACTCTTCATAATTCACCCTTTCATACCTCATCCAAAAAGGTTAGAAATAGTCGATGTTTTACCTTGAAATAAACAATTTTGATATTTCGTTGAAAAGAAACTCATGCGGTGTAAACTTCAAGTGTCGTTTTACAATCACAGCCAAGCGGGATTTAGAAAAGGAAGATCATGTATTGACCACATATTTACACTAACTACTTTAATCCAACTATCATTAAGAAAAAAGAGGGGAAAACTATATGTCTTTTTTGTCGATCTAAGGAAGGCATTTGATACTGTACCTCACTCAATACTTTGGAAAAAACTTTACAACCTAGGCATAAGTTACCAATTCATAAGTACGATCAGAAGTTACTACGAACAAGCAACTATAGCTATCAGATGGAAGGGATCATTTACGGAAAGTATTAAGATAAACTCGGGAGTCCTCCAGGGAGAACCACTTTCCCCACTGCTATTTATATTATTTATCACGGACTTAATCGAAATTTATAATAACTCAGACCTGCCGAGTGTAAATTTGCCAGAATTTGGAGATATCCATTTATTGCTGTACGCCGACGACATAGCAATTATAGGTGAGTCCAGGATGAACCTCCAAAAGAAGATCAAAATACTGAAAGAATATCTCGATGAGAACTTAATGACACTAAATGAGTCCAAGTCAAAGATTATGGTGTTCCGTAATGGAGGTAAACCCTCAAATAAGGATAGATGGTTCTGGAATGATAAACCCATAACAATAACTTCAAGATATACATACTTGGGATTCCCTCTGACACCAACAATAACAACTACTCACCCGGCAAATTACTTTAAAGGAAAAGCACTTACAGCAATTAACGCCGCACACCCAATATTAATAAAATCAAAAGCAAAGTCAATAAATTTATCAACCAAACTCTTTGATACAATAGTGAGAGCTGTCCTGATGTATGCCGCTCCATTGTGGGCAACAGAGCATAAAGACTTATTGGATAGTATACAAGACATATTTATCCGTAGGTTCCTGAATCTGCCCAGATACACTCCAGGCTACCTAATCAGATTAGAAACCGGTCGTATCTCATTGAGTGTAACAGCCTTAAAATTAACCCTGAAGTATTGGCTGCGGGTGTTGAATATGAGCAGTGACAGATTGCCACGTATATGTTTTAATAGAACACGGGAACTGTCTAATGCTTCGGGCACACCCATCGGTTTCATTAAAAAGCTCACCAATCTGCTTAACAATAATGGATCCCCTGCACTTGTTTCCTGTGATGACCCTGAAACGCTGAGGAGCGCGATTACAGGGCTCTTAAAAACAGCGGCAGACCAATCTATACAAAACGACCTTACAAGAATGGATAAATCTAAGCTATACTCTCACTACAAAGACATTCACATATCTTTCATGACGGAGGGATACCTTTTAGGAGATTTTCCTTTCCCGGTTGTAAGACTACTCGCACAAGTTAGAATACTTTCAAGTTTTTTTAGAGAAAACCACACCAAGATGCTCTGCGGTGAGGACCCGATTTGTACCTTCTGTAATTCAAAACAAAAAAATGAAATCACTCACTATATTTTTGATTGCCCTGCTCTGAAAGAAGAAAGAAGAACCCTTATGCTCAAAACTGGGCAACTCTGTGCTTCACTTCCATCAATAATTGACAATATGACCCAGAATAAGTATATTGCTACGGCGTTTTATGGTTTCCACAAGTCCATATCTCAGAAGAAGGCCAAGTGATACTCACTCCTCACTTTCTTACTGCTACTCTTTTTGTGTTGATTTCTTGCTTCCCTCTTTCTTTTTTTTTTTCTTGTTTTTTTTCTTTTTCTTCTTACTCTGTATATATCGTTATTTCCTTTGTCTCACTGCTTTGTTCTTATGCATACCTCTGGTGAATCCTGTATAGGGTCAGTGACCCTAAATAAAGGCTTTTTTTGTTGTTGTTGTTGTTGTTGTTTTACAATCACAGGCCGCAGTGTATTATATTGTATCATAAGTTATAATATAATAAAAAAAGTAAAAATACAACCTTTCGCAATGAGTTTCTTTTTTTTTTTAAGAAACTTTTTAAAAGAAACTCATTGCGAAAGGTTGTATTTTTACTTTTATTATTTGTAGCGCAAAATTTTCGTTTACTTCAAGTTATAATATAGTTACCTAGAATAATAAAAGGGGACGGTATACTTCCGGGAATATTCTAGAAGGTTTTACAAACTTCTGCCTCCTGTTCTGCTTCTGCCTTCCTTCACTTTGCTGCAGTTGGTGAGTTTGTAACCGCTGTTTTCTTTGTTGTTGTTTTATTTTGCATTCTTCTGTAATTATTGATTAGGCTTTAATAAAGTTCTTAAGATCATTTGAACCCACGCAAGTTATTCTTTGTCAATTAACAACGCAACAATATAGTGTGGGAGTCTTTTTATTTAATAACTAGCGGATGTACCCGGCTTCGCCCGTGTTTTACCCGAGTAAAGGTTTGTCTAACGAATCTCTCGATAAAGTGAACATTTCTTCCCGGTCTCTTGAAAAATACTCGATAAGTTGAATAAAATCAATATTAATCGGTACCCGAGTAAAGGTTTGTCTAACGAACATTTGTTAAAACAATTCTCTATAAACTTATAAAAAGAAATATATATATTTTGATAATTTGAAACTCGTAAATTTGAATCTCTCGATAAAGTGATCATTTTTTCCCGGTCCCTGTGTGCCGTGTCATTCTGAATTTTGTCTTTCCTAATTTTCTACATTACAAAATCATCGTTTTATCTAGTGAACATTTTTTCCCGGTCCCTTGAAAAATACTCGATAAGGTTGAATAAATTCATGGTTGTTTATGGAAGATGGATTAAAGTTCCCGGAGGTCATCTTGGGCAAGCTCCCGCGAGGCTTTTTTTCTTGTCTACTTGGCACAGCTGTGTCACCAATTCTGCCCTGATTGGTCGGTGGGTACTTGGACTGTCCTTGAACTTGTCCTTGGACTGCCGCCGGCCGGATGAATCCATTCTCGTCGCAAGGTGGCACTGCTTGCGAGTTAAAGCTACAAATCTGCAAATAACTCTAAGGATATTAAAGATATTCAAGATATTATTTTTCGTAAACCTTTCCGGGGATATGCCTAATAATATCCCAAAATTTCACGGCGATTGGATGTACGGTTTTTAAATCTATAGAGTACACACAGACCACAGACAAACAGACAAACAGACAGACAGACATTCAATTTTATATATATAGATATTGGGGGCTTGCTATTTTCGTATGGATATTAAATTTATTTTGGGTAAAATTTGATTCTCTTGATTATCATGTTTTGTAAATTTATATTGGCTATGGTAAATTTATAAATTTAGAATTCACGCGACTAAAATTAAATAATTAATAAATATAAATTTTCATTGTAAAAAAGGTTTTTAAAATGCCCTAAAATAGGAAAAATAAATATTTTATGTCATTTAATGTGAAACGACTAATGAACACGTTTTTATTGTTTCACTCAATTTTTAACCTCTTCCCTCTTTTATGTGGAAATCCTTACCCACTGCTTTTCTTTAGACTCTTATAAATCCAAATTTTCAATGGTGGAGTAGTTGATATATTTGTTTTCTCCTTTACAGTGCACTAAAATCCTTGTAACAGCCTACAAACGAATCATCACTGCGAAATTTGTATACCAAACTTCGCATCATTGTTTTGTGAAACGTTTACCAGACTTTTTTTCACAACTGGATTACATAATATTCCATATACTATGGTCCTTGCAGAATCATTTGATACCAATCTTTTGGATTTCTGTTCATTTGGAATTCTGAAAAAAAAGACAAAGGAACTACTAGAGTGGAAGACTTCTGAAAAAGTTGCTCTTTCTCTTGGGAAGCAATCAATACCTTGGTGAAAATATTCTATTCATTTATAAACACAGCGATGTCGTTTTTTTATTCAATGTTCAGGAAATATTATAATGAAAAAGATGAAATAAAGATTTTTTTGTCGTTTCAAATTCGTTATTTAAAAAAAAAAAAAATCCTTCTTTATATGCGGAGTATTTTTGGGAACAGAAGAATTATTTTAAGACTAGTGTCTAGGATTGGTCATCAGCAAACAGCATACAAAGGGCTAGTATATGTATAATCCTTTGGAAAATAAAATCTGGCTTGGTATGGCCCATTGCCCATATTCACAACCTATACAGTGACATGGTATTTTTCTAAAAGATTCTATAGGATTTTCCTCATTCCTGAAAAATATTTACGATAATAGTTTTAAGATATGTTAAGTAGCTGCCTCTTAATATAAAATATTAATTATTTGAAATAATTGAACATTTTACAGAAGCTGATCTTGATACAATGATATCACAGCTAAACCAAATCTCCAGGAATAGATCGTATTTCGAATCGGATGATATAATGGTCATATAATCAAATGAAACTCCTTCTATTAAGGACCTTCGATAAATGCATGAAAATGATTAATTTCCTTCTTTCTTGGGAAAACTCCACCGTACGTTTTTTCAACAAACCCAACAAGCCAAACAATATGAGTTATAAATCCTTTCGCCCTATATGCCTCCTTCCCAACTTAGCCAAAATCTTTGAGAAATAGATTGCCAGAAATATGATGGATCACTTAACTCCCCTGCTGAACACAAGTCAACACTTGAAGGGACGTTCAACGATCTCCGCTCTTGAAGAAATAACTAGGAGCATCATAGAATTTAAAGGAAAACAACTAGTCGCCCTACTTCTAGTAGATATTACTGCGACAACTCCTGGCATCCAATTATAATTAAATCCCTTGATCAGCTGAACACTCCATTTGATAAAAAAATATAATCATATTTTCAAAACCATAAAGTCTTATTTGAATACGCTGGATTTATTGTATCAAAACAACTAAACAAATGATGTCCACAGGAAGGAACACTGTCTCCGTTACTTTGGAACGTTATTTTCAACGGTCTCCTCTTCCGCCTTACTCAA